CCAAAGCCACTGGCAGTTCTGTTTTTGAATGTCAGTCAAAGAAACTACCATCAGTTGGTCTCTCATTTGCGGCAAACTTCTCTTTGGTTTTTCATACACGTTCAGTTTATGAAACTTTTACCCCTTTTTGTATTAAAAAAAGTATATATATCTGTTTTTCTGAAGGAATTTGGCGATTAGTTCAATTTCAAAAAAAAATATATATATATTTTATATATATAACACCTAATTACATTCAGAATTTTTATTTCATGCCAACCCACAAATTTTCAGAATTTGCAATCACAATTCCAACATGGGACTGAAGAAACGGAGAACAAGAAAGATGACATTTAACCAGAAATCTGAATAGACTTGACTTCGGGCTTCTTCTCTTCTTCCTTTGGAACAGTCACAGTAAGCACGCCGTTCTCCATGCTAGCCCTGACCTGGTCCATCTCTGTATTTTCCGGTAACCTGAACCTCCTCAAGAACTTCCCACTGCTTCTCTCCACCCTGTGCCATGTATCATTCTTCTCTTCCTGCTCTCTGCTCCTTTCTCCACTGATCTGCAGCACGCGACCTTCTTCAACCTCCACCTTCACCTCTTCCTTCTTCAACCCGGGAAGGTCAACCTTGAATACGTGAGCTTCCGGTGTCTCTTTCCAATCAATCCTAGCATTGACAAATGCAGAGGTATCGCGAGCAGAGGACGGAACAGAGACGAGAGCGCTGGGGAACGGGAAGCCCTCAAAAGGATCCCATATGTCTAGAGAGAAGGGGTCGAAAACGTTGCTCCGGCGACCACCGAAAATGCTTGGAATCAGAGCCATTTGCGACGAACTTTGCAGAAAACCTTTTGAGTTGTGAGAGTGCTGTCTTACTTCTACAGAATGCTTTGAGTTTTTCCTTGTCACGATGACATGAAAGAGGTGGATGGTGTATTTAAAGAATGCAAGAGAAGATTCTGGTACTCTGGAACATGATTCTGGAACTTACGCGGATGTTCCTTTGCGACAGAGACAGAGTAATAGGCGGTTGATAGAGAGCTCTTTAAATTTCCAGAGTATTCCTGTTTGACAACAGCATTCGTAGATGTTGCTGCCTCGCTGGCCAAGATGAAACTTCCCGAACATTCCTGTTTGATCTGTTTAAGCAACTCCATTTCGCCAGGCCCAAAGTTGGGCAGTGGTAAAGCCCAATCTAACCTTTTTCATAGAAAAAGCCCATTCTGTAAACAATATTTTGGAAGGGGAAGGTCTATAACCTACAGAACCAGCCCTTTAGCTTAGTTCATTTAACATTGCAATAGAACTTTTTTTTTCTCTTTATATTAATATTTTGATATTTAAAAGTCACATTAAATTTTAACTAGTTTAAAATCAAATTACGTAAAAACCATAAAAAAAAAAAATTTTCAACACTTGTTAACCTTATTTAAAAAGATCTAAATTCATTTTACTTGAATTAACAAGTTGTTAGTTCAATAAAACTTATTTAGAAAATAATAACTTTTGTAAAAGTTTGTTGGAATAGAACTGGGGCATTCGTACTGAATTTATAAAATAT